AATATTCGGTATATAAGCTCTAGAGTTGAACTAACTAATCGATTGGATTCAATCTTTTAATGTGGTTCAACCCAAGTGTCTTATTACCCAATCTAGTTGTCCATGCCCCATCCTAAATTCTATCATGGTATCGGAGCAGGTTTTGGCCCACCTCGTTAGTCAAGGTGTCTGTCTAGACGTTCATTCCTAGCGGCCCGTTTGTCTTTAGCCCAGTTGTCCGTATGGAGTATGTACCCAACGGCCTGTGGCTTGTTTGACCCGATTGCACGTCTAGAAGTCCATACCCAGGGGCTCGTGGTCATTTAGGTGTTGGCGCTCAAAAAAAAAAGTCAAGGGAATGTGAGTTCATTTGCAAGTGGTCAACCGGTTAGATTCAAAATGGCCCGGTTGTCCACTTGAGGGGGAGTGTTAGAGTACATCCCACATCGGAAAATCCAAGAGAAAAATATTCGATATATAAGCTCTAGAGTTGAACTAACTAATCGATTGGATTCAATCTTTTAATGTGGTTCAACCCAAGTGTCTTATTACACAATTCAGTTGTCCATGCCCCATCCTAAATTCTATCAAATATGGTGGGGTTTTTTTTGGGAGCTGTTCAATGACTGCAGAGTGTTTTGGTTGTATGTTTGCAGTGTCTTATGACCTTTTTTAGGTAGTGTGCTTTTTTGCATGTTAGTGTATAATGGCTACATGGTGTTAAACCATACAGCAGTGTGTAAGGGATATATTTTTTGCTTAATTTCTTGTTGGAGTGTTATGTGCATGGATTAAGATGTTAAGGCAGTGTGTAGGAGCTTATGACCTTTGCTTTTTTTGGTAGAATTTCATTTGGACATGTATTTTAGGCAGTGTTGTATGGACTAGTTAGCAGCATATAATCTGTGTTGTATAATACTCCGTATTATAATTGTGGTTTTTTTAATTTTTTTTGAATCATATAGAGATTGCAGTGTATTATCTTGAATTGAAGAGCATTCAATACACTGTAATCCAGACGCACACAACAGCTTCCCCTTACTTCCTGCAAGGACTCAAGACACACCAGGAAATGGTAGACGTTGGAAAGGCTAAAAGGGAGGGTGTGATTGAGAATTCAAGTCTAACAAGTGAGGTATTGGGATTAGCGCGAGAATATGCGAAGCCATGGATTCAATGTGATTTTGTATATATGCCTTTGAACACTTAAATTTTTTGGGATTTGATGTTTAATTTTTTTGGATGTAAAAATGACAGTAGTTTTTTTGGGTTAAAGTAATAGTTTAATGACGTTTAATTTATAATTGATTTGAGAAGTGGATTGATGGAGAGGTTTTTTATAAGGGCTTATCATGGACTTGGCTTTTTTCGGTCTTTCTTGATTTTGCATAATGTTAGAAGATGTTAGTATTAGACATATGTTAAATTTCATTTATGTGGTACTGAAAAGAAATGGATAATGGAAGGTATTATGTTGTAAATTTTAAGACTTTGTAAGCAGCATACACTGCAACATCATGTAGAATTGTGCAATGTAACTAGGGGTGTACAAAATCCGGGTCGGACCGGAAAACCGGACCGGACCGGACCGGAAAAACCGGTTCCGGGCTAGATCGGTAAAATTCCGGACCGGTCTCCAGTCTAAAGATTTTGGACCGGTAAAATTCCGGTCCAAGACCGGATCGTTTCCGGGTCGGACCGGTAAGACCGGATTGTCTATTTTTTTTAAAAAAAATTAATACCTATGATACGGAGTTTACGTATAATTATAAATACAATTGTATGTTTTAATTTGTTCTTCTTACTTTAATATTAAGTATAATTTTTTAAATGTAATTTGTATTTTTTAATTCATTTCATTGACCTTTACCCAAGAATATCCATAATTATAAAAAACTAAAATTATTTCTCAAAAATTGAAGTAGAATCTTTTGATTTAAAGTATTAAATACTTTGACGTATAAATTAGACTTGCTAAAACAAAGTAATTTAATGTAAAACTTTATAATATTTTTTAAATTTCAAAACTAATGGAAGTATAAAAATCATTTTACACCTATTATATTGTTGATAAAAATATTTTATATTAATATAATTTCTTGAAACACACCCAATTTATATAAAAATTAAATGTAAGGTTGAAATAAATTCAAATCAAGCTACAAATTTGAAAAACAAGTATAAAAAATAGAAAAAAAAGAAATACGAGTAGAAAAAATAAATTCCGGGTTTTCCGGTTTTTATCCGAACCGGACCGGAAAAAACCGGTTCGGACCGGTCCGGACCGGAATCTAACCGGTCCGTTTTCCGGTCCTATGCTTTAGGGGATTCTGGGTTTCTGGTTTTTCCGGTTCCGGTCCGGTCCGGGTCTGGACCGGTGTACACCCCTAAAGGTAACACACTGACCAAAACATAGGACATAACACACTGCCAAAAAGTATACTTAGATCACGAGCATTCCACACTGCCAAAAATCTTTGAGCTTACACTTCATACTTTGTTTATTAAAGTTATTCAAACACTAGTCATTTTGGCGATTTTTTTGTATCCACTTCCAATGGAACTCAATGAATAATTTATTACATTCGGATTTTTAGATATAAATCCCATTTGACCAGAACACACTGGCCAAACATGGTCATAGGACACTGCCAAAAAGTGTAGCTAGAAGTTGATCATTCCACACTGCCAAAAAAATAATAGCCCCCAATTCAATAACATGTTTCCATAAAGAATTCTTGAATGTTCAAATCCAATAGTCATAGAACAAAGCACATGGTTTTTGCACAATATGAAACTCAATTCTTAATTCATAACATTGGATGTTTTATACGTATGTCTAATTTCACTGCCATATTACTAATGGAAGTTAATGAAGTACATACAAATTTGTTTAGGCCGTGAACTTTAATTCCTTATGGTTGTTATACACTGCCATATTTACTCTCTTGCCTGCCACATTATATATATATAAGACAAATTCACTGCCAGAAAGTATTTGCGAAACATGATCAATCTGTACTGCCTAAAAATTTAGGCCACCATATTGAGTAACACATTTCATAACAATCTCTTTCATGATAAAATCCCATTGTCATAAATTCAACCACAAGCTGTTTGCACAATATGAAAGTCAAATAATAATTTATAACATTGGTAGTTTTATATGTAATTTTCATTGCCACCACTTTTTTATAGAATTTTTTATGTAGTTTTTTAAATATATAATTCTTATTTTTTAATTATACACCAATTTTTACTTATATTGATTTGAAAATAACTTCAATCAAACGTCATAAATCGAACAAGAGCCTTATTTTGGGATGAAGGAAATATTTATAATTGGGGTATTTTTATGATATAATTTTGATACTCCCTCCGTCCCAATTTAAATCGCCTGTTTTGACTTTTGAGCATATTTAAGGAAAATAAAAAATAGAGTTGATTTTTCAACATTATCATTACTTTTTAGAAGGGGTGATGATGAATGAGAAGATAATGTGAAGAAGAGTGACTTATTTTAGGGGTAATTTAGGTATTTTATTTTTAAAAGTTTACGAAAATAACTAACAGGCAACTTATTTTGGGACAGAGAAAAAAAACAAACAGGCAATTTAAAATGGGACGAAGGGAGTATGTCGTATTTCTATTATATACGGAGTATATTTATTCAAAACTACATTTAATTGATTAAAGAAAGAATTTGATAAAAAAAGTACTATGGTACTATGCACAAAGTATACATTAGGTGAGTGGAATTTGATATAAGAGTTGAAAGAGGAATTGAATCTAGTGGGATAAATTGTACTTTGTATAATATAAAAGTGGTGAGCATAAAATTGAAGAGATAGCTAGCTAGAGCATTGAGAAGGAAATTAAGAGTATGATGTTATTCTTCTTCTTCACTCCGTTAATTAGGCATGCTGACAAAGTGGAGCGTCGGCTTCTTAGCCGCCGTCGGCGATGGGGTTATCAGTGAGGCCATACTAAATACGGAGTAATTAAAATTCGTAGATTATAATTATACGGAGTAAAAGGGTAAAGGGTATGATTGGAAGAGATTGGAAACATAAATAGCTAAATTGGTAAAAAACAATAAGCAGTGCTAAATGCGTAATATTGGGTGAGTTAGAGTGCTACGTAGGGTGATTTCTTTAAAGACATTCACTAAGATAACGTGATAATGATGATGATTATGTTGATGATTATGATGATGATGATGATTATGATGATGATGATGATGATGATGATAATAATAATAATAATAGTAATAATAATAATAATAATAATAATAATAATAATAATAATAACAACAAAAATAATACTCCCTCCGTCCCCCATAGATCTTCCCAATAGCCCTTTTTCTTTGTCCACAATAGATCTTCTCATTTCACTTTTTAACAATTAAAATACCACAACTACCCCCACTTACTTTATTTATTACACCTCACCCACCTTATTTAATACACTCCACCCATTTTCATTAAGGGTATTATGGTAAACTTTCAACTTTTTTCAACTCTTCTTAAAAACTACCAAAAGTCAAAATAAGAACATCTTAGAGGGACAGAGGGAGTAATAATTTATATCAACAAGAATTTAAAATAATATTTTTAAAGTTTTTTTAGGTTTTCTAGTTTTTTCCAGTTTTTTCTAGTTTTTTCCAGTTCTTTCCAGTTTCATCCAGTTTCTTCCAGTTTTTTCCAGTTTATTCAAACATCCAGCTCTTTTTTTACAGTCCTAAAGAACAGGCCCTAATTAGACTAATTTTGATTAGGTAAAAGATTCCAGCAAGCTTAGGTCTTGCTATTTCTTGGTTGAAAAATGCTAGGGGTACACTAAAGGTGTACCCCAACCCAAATATCCCCACCCCCTCCTTGTCCACTAAAAAAGGCAAAAAAATTCAAAAAAATAAGTAAATAAAAATCAAATAAAAATGTGTGGAGGAAAAAAGGGTGGTGTACATTTGGGGTACACCAACTTTTGGTGTATCCTAGCATTAGTCTTCTTGGTTACATTCTCTTACTTTTTTGCGTGTGAGGGAAACCAGTCAAACTACCCAAAGTTTGCTCACCAACCACAGCAGCTCTGTTTTTAGCTCAGACTGTTGTTTCCAGTGGAAATATTTCCCAGAATCTATTCTTTGAAATGGCGGGAGACAGCGGTGCCTGCTGGAGGGCGATGTTCCGCATCGGCCGCCGCATCCTGGCGGGGCGGTGGTTCATGGTCTTCAGCTGCCTGCTCATCCTCTCCGTCTCCGGCGGGACCTACGTATTCGGGATCTACTCCGAGGAGATCAAGTCAACCCTAGGCTACGACCAGACGACCTTGAACCTGGTCAGTTTCTCCAAGGAGCTAGGAGCCAACATCGGGATCATCTCCGGCCTAATCAACGAGATCTCCCCTCCCTGGGCCGTCCTCCTTCTCGGCGCCTCCATGAATTTCTCCGGCTACTTCTTCATCTGGCTCGCCGTCACCCGCCGCCTACCCGACCCGAAAATCTGGTGGGTCTGTTTCTGGATCTGCGTCGGATCGAACTCCCAGACCTTCGCCAACACCGGAGCCCTCGTGACCTGCGTCAAAAACTTCCCCGAATCTCGGGGGATCGTGATCGGCCTCATGAAGGGCTACGTCGGCCTCAGCGGCGCAATCATCACTCAGATCTACCACGCACTGTACGGAAACAACGGCAAGTCTCTGATCTTTCTTCTTGCCTGGCTCCCTGCAGTGGTCTCCGGCGTTTTCCTGCGAACCGTCCGTGTCTTGAAGGTTAACACTGCGAGAAAGGCAAATGAAGAGCTCAGAGTGTTCTACAATCTCTTGTTCCTGTCTTTCGGCCTCGCCGGGGTTCTTATGTGCATAATCATTGTGCAAAACCGGGTCCAATTCAACAGGATTGAGTACGCGATCAGCGTTTGTCTGATTGTTGCTACCTTGATTTCTCCAATAAGTGTTGTGATTAGGGAGGAGGCCAAGCTCTTGAAGACCAAGAAACAACTGCTGGAAGAAGTGGAAGAAACTGAAGAGCCTGTCGCGCCTGAAACGGCCGTCGCGTGGTACAAAAACGCGTTGAGTCCTCCAGAGAGGGGGGAGGATTACACCATTTTGCAAGCGGTGTTGAGCATCGACATGTTGATTTTGTTCGGTGTCACAATAACCGGAGCTGGAGGGACATTGACGGCGATAGACAACCTAGGACAAATAGGCAAGTCCTTGGGCTATCAAGACAAGAGCATAACCACATTTGTGTCACTTGTGAGCATTTGGGGCTACCTAGGAAGGGTGGCCTCCGGTTTCGCCTCAGAAATCTTCTTGGCCAAGTACAAATTCCCACGCCCGCTAATGCTCACGCTAGTCCTCCTCCTCTCATGCAGCGGCCATCTTTTGATCGCGTTCGGGGTTCCCAACACCCTATACGTCGCCTCGATCTTGATAGGGTTGTGCTTTGGGGCAATTTGGCCTTTGATATTCGCGATGATCTCCGAGCTCTTTGGGCTCAAGCACTACTCCACATTGCTCAACTTTGGGGGTGCCGCGAGCCCGGTTGGGGCCTACATATTCAATGTAAGGGTGGCGGGAGCTTTGTACGACCGCGAGGGGTTGAGGCAGTTGGGGGCCAAGGGGATGAGAAGAGGGACGGGGGAGGATTTAACGTGCGACGGGGTCGAGTGTTTCAGGGTCGCGTTTCTGATCATTGCAGCCTCGACGATCGCGGGCTGCGTGGTTTCGTTGGTTTTGGTGGCCAGGACAAGGAAATTCTACAAGAGTGACATATACAAGAGGTTTAGGGACAAGGGTTTGGGTGTGTAGAGGAGAAGATTGAGAAAAAATGGTGTTTGAATTTTCATGGTGCATCTCGTTTGGTACATGTAGGAGTTGTAGGTTCACTTGTACATGCTACCTAAACTATGTAGGGAGTAATGCATAGGGCTTGTAGAAATTATGTGTTTTTAAATAAACATGATATCCATACTTGGTTTAGATACTAATTCTCCCTACATTCTCCCTACATTCCTCCTTTAAAAAAAAGGTAAACAAGAGAATGACACATACTTCGAGAGTAGGTTGAAAAGTGCGTTGGAGAATGCTTCTCTCTTCGCGTTTGTGAATAACGTTTCCAATCAGTGTTAGGGTTTTGAATTTTTTTTATGGTGCAGGTTAAATTTTAATAACACTAAGATTAAATATTGTCCTTACATGGTGTTTTTTCAAGATACTTAATATTTTCATGGTGCAAGACACTTCCTCCCATTAGGGCATTCACAATGGAAGGAATAGAGATAGATCCGAAAAATGTTGTGGGTAAAAGACCATTTTTCATGATAAAAAAACCGTGCTAAGGTAAATTATCTCAACCATAATTCCAAGTTTCGCACAGATTACAAAATTTTTATTGTTCATGTCCCACAGTCAATAAAGGTGTGTGGCATGTGCTAAAAGCTTGGGTCGTTGAATATTCTTATTGAAACCAGATCAGAAAAAATTTAAGGATCAATTTTGAAGGGGCTGACTTCTGGAAGTCATTTTCTCCATTTTTCAATGTTTGGTAATCTAGGAAAATGGAAATTAGTGCACTGGTTTCCAAAGACACAAAGCACACCCCATCCAAGGAAATTAGTGCACTGGTTTCCAAACACTATGTCATTTTCTCCATTTTTCAAACGAAGGGTTTTCCAAAGACGCAAAGCACACCCCATCCATTGGATTTCCTTCAAGGGAGCCAAACACCGGAAAAATTAAATAACATCTGGAAAATAACAAGTTCTCCAGAAGTCATTTTCCAAACCACGTTTTCTCCCTCTCCAAACGGGTCCTAAGTATAACCTAGACCAGACCAGGCCATATCAGACGAAAAGAAAGAGAACATGCTCTAAATTGCCATGAGAAACGATTACCACATCTTGCTAGAGAAACCCCGGGAAATCACATGATATATAATAAATCACTTCATGACAATAACACCACACTTGGAGATTGGTTTGTCACATACTCCTGTTGCCAAATGCTAACCACAGAACCCCTTAAAATGCACTCAAACAGCAGGAACATGTCATAAGAAGTTACAACTCAACTGTTCAAAAAATGGCAAAAAAGAAAATAGTAATCCAAACACACAAAGCAAGAAGAGCAGCAAAAACTTGCATACTAAAGACATCAAGGGTGACATTTTTTTCATTTAAATAACTGTTCAGTATCGAGAGAGGACAAAATTATTTGTCTATTTCCCTATATCTAGGATGCTACATACATGAAAAAACGAGGTAGAGAAAAGATAGGGAAAAGAATAATAAAATCAATCTTTACTTCTGACCAACTTGAACAACTTGAGAACGTCCTCATATACAACAAAAGTAACGGCAGAAGCTGGTACGTTTTTTAATAAGTTAGCAGTAATACCTTTGTAGAAACCACGAATGCCTTCAAACCTGCAATTGCAAAGAGAAAAATAAAAAAACATGCATGTCTTAGACAGGGCCGTTTGGGAATAATAGACAATCCTCAAGAATGAACAAGTTCACCTCCACCAGTAATATATGATGGTCAAATTGCTGTTTTGTTCAGAGAGTTTTATCAGGAACTTCCTTAACAAACATCTTTTTTTTTTTGCAGGGAACCCTCTTTCATCACATTTTCTTAGTAATGAACAGATTTCCTATATGATGGAGAAACCCACTGACCCTTAGATTTTGAAATCCAGTTTTTTTAAAGTAAAAATAAAAAATAAAGAAAATGTGTTCTTAATTATTTCTTGGTTCTTCTTTCCCCATTTTTCTCTATCATCCCCTTCCAGAACCCAACCCCAGACCTACTAGTCACCTCAACAACTGGTAGGAACCACTTCTGCTAGCTTCACCTATGCCCTCATCTCTTCTACCCTAATTTTCCATCCCTCTCTTTTCCAATGACCTTCCAAAACCCATGCAAAAGAAAACTGTGTACCTACATCTTATTTCTTTTTTTTCCCACCAAAACAGAATAAAAGAAGAGAAAGAGAGAGACATGGTGTTTTTTCTTAAAAGAGTTTGATATTAGTGCGATCCCCCATGTAAGTGTTTCCTAACTTTAAGCATCGGACTGATTCTATAAGTCATGAAACAGAAAACAATGATAACCACCAAGAAGATATAACTAGTAAGTATCCAGAGTAAAGGTATGCGTAATGGGTGAATGGGTTAAGTGATGTTGTCGAGACGTAATCACATAATGCCTGACAAAAAAATGACATGCAGGAAAGCAGAAAAATTTAAGTTACATGGCCAACACAGACATGTTTTCACCTAGCAGTTTCTTTTACTGCATGCAAACTATCAGTGTATCTGTGAATTCCATCAATACTAGGTCGTTGCTGCAAAGGACAATGTTTATTAGCCATTGTGGGGGGTGGGGGGGGGGGGCACGGAACAAACAATGAGTAAACTTGAAGGTCATTTGAAACAATGCCAAGAAAATTTAAAGGATCCCCCCAACTGCTACCTGCAATCTGGATCGAATGACCTGCCAAAACACAGGAATTCACTCATCTAACAGAGGGGAGAAAATATAAGCACATCAAACAAAGGAACATCATCTGAAGCAAAACTACCTGAAATGGGTATGTGGACAAAATGGCAGCTACTTTGGAAGAACCCCCTAGAAATGAATAATCAAGCGAATTCTGTTGACAGATCACCATAAACAGATAAAGCCTTAACTTACACTATGATAAAAACAAAAAAACAAAAAACTAATCAAATAACCGTGACGGTCATATTTAAAATGGTAATATTTGGATTCTTAGTTTTTATTGTACTGCGAATCTGCGATTAGGCTACAATGCACAACATCGCAACAAGAAACATTGGGAGGTGATAGCCATGCCCCACTAAATCAATAAATTACCCCCACTTGATAAATTCACCCAATTATATTTTGAAGTGTTATAAATACACTCCACTTGTTACCACCCCCTAGTTTAAATTTGTCTCAACATGCATCTCCAGGTGCCAGAAAATGCACCACCATCGCTGGTTGCCAGAAAATCAATACCGTAAAATTTAATTGCAGAGTAGCTAAATAGGATACGACCATTTTTTTAGAAAAAGATAAATAGGAAAGGAGGGCCTCAAGTCCTCAACATGGGTTTTTCATAGAGAAAGTGAACATCAGAACTTTAACAGGCATAGACTTATAACCTACCAACAATTCGTCATTGCTTCTTTTGTTCGTCTTTCTAGACTTAAAATCAATAAGAAGCTTGCGCAGTTCTTCATATGCTGTGAATTGTATTGCCCCATGTGAGACCTGCTGCAAGCAGTAAGCTGATAGAATATAAATATCCCCAAGTTCATTATTTAATTGATACTGAAACCATATTGCTCAGTCAATTAGTGTAATGCCTGCAATAAGAAAAGCAACCAAAAAGCAAGCATATTTTCTGCTAGCTTGCCTAGTTACCTCTAATATTCACCATTTAATTAAGAGGTCAAATTTTTTGGGTTTTCAATGTCTTAATACTTAATACCATAACAAGCTTTTGATAACTGAGTATAACAGCAATTAAGATATAAACCTATAAACAAAGAAAAGATGGCACTAGGCAGACATTTTGTGGAATAGAACATATACCCGAGGGTTATAACTTATAAGTTGATAAATCAGCCATTAAAAAGATGCAAAGGATTTGGAGGATAAATCCCAAACCGATGGGAGGACGTATGCGGAAATCGTCAACAAAGAAGATGCAATCCCATCAGAATTGGAATTCGTGGAGGCAGAAGAGATCGAGGGACAGAGAATTTCAAGATTTACTAGGGAGGATGTCATCAAGATCAAATCTGTCTGGGAGAATGTTGTGGTTTGCTGTGTACCCGGAGTGAAGTCAGTGAACCCTCCCCTGGATGTGATGAAGGGCTTCCTTACTAGAATTTGGAAGAAGTTTGAAATCGCTGACATCTCCTTCCACAATCACGGGCAATTCATCGTGTGCTTCAAGGAAGGGAGTGATAGAGAAGAAGTCTGCAAAAGAAGGTGCTTCTTTTTTTATAATAAGCCAATTTTAGTCTAAAAATGGTCACCGGGCAGAAAGATTGATATCCACAAACTTAACGATGTCCCCATTTGGATCCAACTCCCAAACCTTCATCTGAAGTATTGGAGTTTATCTGGGCTCAGTAAACTTGGCAGCTTAATGGGCAAGCCTATTAAGAGGGATAAGGCGACTGCAGCAAGGGGAAAATGGGCCTGTGCTAGAATACAAGTTGAAGTGAGCATCCACCAAGATTTTCCAGATGTTATACAGATTGTTGACGAGGAGAACAGGGTTATAACCCGAGACATTAAGTAAGAATGGAAGTCTTCCCACTGCAGCCACTGTAAGATGCTTGGGCATACAGGGGAACTCTGTAGGAAGAAGGATAAACTACAAGATAAGGAAAAAAGAAGAAAGGAATGAGTCCGTAAGAAGCAAAATGAGACTGAGGGAAATGCAGAGGAAGACAAAGAGAAAGAAAAGTCTCCACCAGCGGGTCAGAAAGGAGAAAGGGAGCAAAGGACTACCACTCCAGTTGCAAATGAGAAGAGCAAGAACAAAGGGGGCACTAGCCGAAACCAAGATGAAGAAGGTTTCCAGACAGTTAGTGGAAAGAAAGCGGCGAGGAAGGTGAACCTAGATGATCTACAACCTAGAGGGGCCCTATCCAGTGTTCCCTATGATGGGCATCGACCGTTCTTGAAATGATTATCTGCTGGAACATAAGGGGATTGAACAATCCCAATAAACAAGAAGATATAGTAAAGATTGTGAATAAATATAAGGTAGCTGTCATTGGTATATTAGAAAGGAAAGTTAAGAAGAATAAAGAACAAGAAGTGTTGAAGAGGTTGATGATTGGTTGGAGGCATGCTTCGAATATTGATCATCACCCTTTGGGTAGAATTTGGACCCATTGTGGGATCCAAGGAAAATTGACATCCATATCATTGATAAGTCTTCCCAAATTATCCACTGTAAATTCTTCTCCAAGACTAACAGCAATATGGAAGGGTGTGTTACTTTCACATATGGTATTAATGATGCCCAAGAAAGAAAGCAATTGTGGAGTAGCATCAATAGCTATGCCCAGAACATGAGATACCGTTGGATGGTGATAGGTGATTTTAATGCTATCCTTGATGTGGAAGAAAGAAAAGGAGGAAGCCCTGTAACAGAAGGAGAGCTTATAGATTTCAAAGAATGTGTAGAGGAAAGTGGGCTGGAGGAAATCCCCTTTGTTGGACCACTGTATACCTGGTCGAACAAACAGTTAGAGGGGACAGGATTATCTCTAAACTAGACAGGGATCTTGCTAATGTGGAGTGGTTCTTGAATTACAACATGAAAACTCAGGTCTTAGAAGATGGAGTGTCTTACCATACTCCGTTAATGGTCTCAAATATTGATGCTAAGCCTCACAAGAAGTCCTTCAAATACTGTGATATGTGGAGCCTTGATCCATGCTTTGAAGAGGTTGTCAAATCTACTTGGAAGGATGAAGGGGATGACTCCAGTATGTACAAAACAATCCATAATCTCAAGAAGCTTAAGGGACCCCTGGGGAAACTTCATAAGAAGCACTTCTCAGATATTCATAAACAGATTGAAGATCTGAAAGAAGAGCTCAGTTTATCCCAGAAGAAAGGGAGATCAGAGGACAGGTTTATCACAAAACAAAGGCAGCTATTATGATGAAAAAACAGCAAGCTAAGGTTACTTGGTTAACAGAAGGTGACCAAAACTCAAAATTGTTTTTTGCTTGGGTTAAGAAAAGAAACACATTGAACTATATAGAGTCTGTTTGGGAATAGCGTTAGCGTTTTGAAAAGGCTATCTAAGAGCAGCATTTAGCGTTAGCGTTTTCAAAGTAATCTGCACCGTTAAAATTTATCCAAAACGCTAACGCTAATCTCTAATGCTATTCCCAAACAGGCCCATAGTCAATGTGAAAAACAGTATAGGGGAGTATGTTTATGGCAACACTGATATTGCTAATGTATTTGTGGCCTTCAATAAGGAGCTCTTTGGTACTGAGCATCATACAGATACATTGTGGTTAGAGGCTATGACAGAAGGGCCAGAGTTCAATGTCCAACAACAACTGGGCATGATCAAAGATTTCTCCAAGGAAGATGTTAGGAAAGCTATGGTGTCTATCCCAAATCACAAAAGCCCTGGCCCGGATGGATTCACTAGCGGATTCTTCAAGAAATAGTGGCACAATGTGGGGGATCAGATCACTAAAGCTGTACTGGAATTCTTCAAGAAGGGGAATACTGTAAGAAGTCTGAACTCCAGTAGTATAACTCTCATCCCAAAGAAAGACAATGCGGACAGCCCGGGGGACTGCAGACCAATCACTTGTTGCAATGTACTTTATAAAGTGATTACTTAACTGATTGCAACTAGATTCAAAGAGGTTCTTCCTTCGGTGGTCATTGGAAATCAAGGGGCGTTTGTTAGAGGAAGAGAACATCTCCATAATGTCCTTCTTTGTCAAGAGCTGTCCAGAGGATATAGTAGAAAGAATACCAGTCCCAAGTGCATGATTAAATTGGATATTAAGAAGGCCTACGATACTGATGATTGGGAGGCAATCCGAAGTATCCTTAAGTGTCTTAAAGTCCCTCAAAAGTTTGTTGATTGAATCATGTTCTGCATATCAACCCCTTCATATTCTATTAAAGTTAACGGAGATGATTATGGTTTTTTTTATTGGAAAAAGAGGGTAGAGACAACGAGACCCTATGTCTCCACTGATTTTTGTTCTGGTCATGGAGTATTTCACAAGATTGATCCACTTGATAGCAAAAAAGGGTGGCTTTCACTATCACCCCGGTTGTAAGAATTTGAAGCTTAGAAATCTTCTTTTTGCAGATGATCTGATCATTGTTTGCCCTGGAGATCTTCAAGAAGACTACTGGACTCCAAATCAACGCACAGAAATCTCAGATTTTCTTTGGGGGGG